CATTGGCTCTCTCTCCAAAAGCCTTAAGTAAGAGAAGGAAAAATGCAACAAATAGAAGACCTGTTGTTCCTGGTGTGTCTCATGTAGATGTAACACGATTTCCCTACAAACATGTTTGCACACAAGGGCTCCAAAATAATGCTAAATCGTGGTTAAGGCTGATAATGTAAAGACCAGGTATGTGTTGGAAAATAGTAGGAGATAATTGGTCTTGATGCTGGTATTTAAGAGCCAAGGAAGACTGAATTGCAGTATTCTCATTCATTCTGATCTCACTATTTACAAAATAGTGATGTCTGATGTCTTGTCTATATCTCCTCTTCTGGAGCAAAACCCAAGCAGCCTCTTGTGGGGGGCAGTTGTGTCATGATTTCCTAGGTAGCCTTATGGCTGGGGCCTTGCTGTGTATGCTTGTTCTGGTAGACCTTTGTGAATGCACAAACCCATTCTGTTTACCAGTCTCCATTTCCCCCATCGAGAGCAGAATCTAAGCAATCTTGATTCCTGTCAAAGCTGCAACGCCCTGGCCGCTTGCTGGAATTTGTGAATAGCAGGAAACGGAGACTTGCAGCTTGTTTGTGCTAGGAATCTGTGACCGACGAACAAAATCAGTCCCTAGACTTTTAGGCCAGGCCCCACATCTTGTGCTTTGTATTTATTTTTATTCGTTGTTTGCTTATTATTATTATTTTCACAAAGGAAAGGGTTGCAAGAGTTGGACAGAGAATGGGTGAGGTTAAGACGCCACTGAGTTTAGCTTGGCAAGATTTTCTGTTTCACAAGAGAATGAACAAACAAGCAAGTCCTCCACCCACCCACCCCACTGTCTCCCTCAGTGAAGCAGCTGGAATATTTTTGTATATCTATTAAAAGTATTTTTATATCATTGATAAGCCTGCTGAAAAAAATCCAAGAGTCTCTGCAATCAGAGGCTGGCTTCTGTTCATGGAAATAGAAGGGACATGTTGGAATCAAACCAGGCAGCGCAGCACAAAAAACGAACCTCCAGCAGTACAGGGACAACTCAGCATCTTTGGAAGCTGAAACTTCCTGATAGGAATAGATATTTGATTACTGGCTAGAGGTGGAGGTAGGAAATAGAAACCCCAAAGCCAAATGGCCCCAGTGAAATCAGATTTGAGAGCAACCTCTGAAGGTTTCTCATTCTTCATGGCTTAGTTTAATAATGCTGCTGAAGAGCTCCCTAGTACACCATTTCTGGCTAAAGAGTTAATTGTGGTGATCCAGAATAGGTACAAATGAATTATGCCGAAATGGTTTACTGGTGTCATGCACATATTAACATAAATAGAAGCCAAATTAAGTTATATTGTTGGCATTAGTTAATGTTTTTCTAGGCGAGTTTAATGAAAATGGTTATATCATTCAAACATAAACTTTAAAATTCTATATAACAACAACAACTTTATTTTTGTACCTCACCTCCATCTCCCCAAAGGGACTCAGGGCAGCTTACATATGGCACAATGTGTCTGGAACAATGCAAAAAATATACAATACAAAAAAAGATAAAACCACAATCATATAAAACAATTATTTGAACATTAATATAGCACCCAATAACTAATGGTGAGAACAGTCGTTAAACATGGCCAACCGGATCCAGGAGCAAGGGAATGAAATATGCAAGTTGTAGCTCATGAACAAGGGAATGGGACGAAAGTGCAGTGCTGTCATTAATTGTGGACCATTGGGGTTAGACATTCTCAAAGGCTTGTCCAAACATCCAAGTCTTCAGTTCCTTCCGAAAGGAGGACAGGGTGGGGGCCTGCCTAATCTCCATGGGGAAGGCGTTCCAAAGCCGAGGGGCCACCACCGAGAAGGCCCTCTCCCTCGTCCCCACCAACCTTGCTTGTGACAGTGACAGGACCATAAAGAGGGCCTCCCCAGCAGATCTTAACAATTGTGCAGGAACTTTGAACTATATGAACTTTGGTGGAATTAAACCTCATTTCTAGTTTCCAAAGACTTTATTTTAAAACATACTTATTTTTAGCATGGCACCTCCCACATGTTTTAGATCACAGTATCTCTGACCATTGACCAGATTGCCTAAGATGATGATGGAAATGGTAGTCTCGACATACGGATAACATCATTTTGTATACTCCAGATGCTCAGTCAACTTCTGCTCAAAGCCTAGGCTATCTGGGCAGGTAAAGTTGCAGAAAAATTCTCCTGACACCCAGTCTAGGGCTGAAGATGTTCAATCCAACGTAGGTTGATAACCCCTGTGCCAAAATAATAATAATAATAATAATAATAATAATAATAATAATAATAAATTGTGCAGTTTTCTGGCATTGTATATTTCTGCCGCTTCTGTGATTGTTCATTTGTATTTTGATTCTGTAGCGCACTTGTCGATGTATGTCCAGAATCAGCAGCATCCACCGTGGTCCTTTTTATCCTGGGTGTCGACCGAGCTAGTATAGACTTCGCTTTGGTTTGTTACTCCATAATTCTAATAGGTTAGGTGCTCTTAGTTCCACTCCTCAGCTGAGACCTCTCTGGCTTGGTTGACAAAATCATGATCTGTCAACTGCAAAAGGCCACCTTACTTGGATTTGTGTGCATCATTCAAAAATACATCATACAGTCCTAGGTGCTTGGGAAGTGTTCGACTTGTGATTTTGTGATACGAAATCTAGCATATAGATCTCGTTTGCTGTGACATACTGTGCTTTTGTGTCAGTAAAATAATAATAATAATAATAATAATAATAATAATAATAATAATAATAAAATTCATTTATTACCTGCCTCTCCTGATGACTCAAAGCAGGGTACAACAAAGTCAAAAACACATGAAAATAAAATATATACAATAAATTACATATATTAAAGCACACACACACACACACACACACACACACACACATATATATATATATATATATATATAATGTACCAAGCACAGATATGGAACTGACATATAGTAGCAACAAAATGTAAACCAAAACTCATGATTGAAAATTGACTAGATAGGCCTGTCGGAAGAGATGAGTCTTCAATTGCATTTTAAATTCCAACACTTCATTTAGCTGACGGATCTCTCTTTTCTAGCAGGTCATTCCATAGACTTGGGGTGACTGATGAAAAGGTCCTCTGGGTGACGAGCATCAGTTGGGTTCTGGCTGGTTGGAGGACCTAAGTGTCCTAAGGGGTGAGTTGTGCAAGAGAAGACACTTCTGTAGATAATCTGGACCGAAACCATGTAGGGCTTTAAAGGTGAAAACCAACACTTTGTACTTTGCCGGGAAATTGATTGGCAACCAGGGGAGTGACTTTAATATAGATGTAATATGCTCACTCCTAGATGTTTCTCTAACCAATCTGGCTACCTTATTTTGAACTAATTGGAGCTTCCGAAATTGTTAACCCAATGTACAGCACATTACAAAAAGGCTCAAAGCAGGTTTTCTGAGATCACAAGAGATCTCTGAGTCTTGGCATTTGTGTCAGGTTCTACCAGGGGACAAAAAAAGGAGGAGGAGAGCCAGGATGATGGGCCCCAGTTGGAGCCAGGGAAGGCTAACAATCTTGCCACGGCATCAAGTCTGGTCCATCCCAGACAGAGTTGAAGATCAGGCGGGGGGAGGCAGGGGCTTTTCATCCTCTCAACCAATGAATATTAAAGCACTGGGAACAAAAGTTCAGGCAATGCTCCATTTTCAATATAGGACACTGAGCTAATGAGGCCAGCTGTGCTGATTAACTGCTGGCAATAAATTCGCTCAGCCCAGGCGCTTGATTCCACTGCTGGAGGGAACAGCTCCCAAACCTCCAGGCAACCCTGTCTGACATCCTTGGCTTCCTGACCTTTGGTATGTGCTTATGGACTAATATTTCTGGCAACATCCCTCTTATCTTTGGATTTAACTCTGGTCTGCTCTCCCCTATGAAACTCAGGCGGCCTGGACCAGTTTTCTGTTTGTAATGTGATGGACTCCTTGGGTCTGGACTGACTTTATCCCTTCCAGTTCTTGTGAACTATAGCAAGAGAGATTTTTAGGAGTGTATTTCATTCTTTTTATACTTGTGTTTGGTCATTTCTTTTAGAAAAAAATACTGTTTTGTGTGGTTTTGGTTGTTTAAAATGTTATTGTGAATATGTTTTACTAGTTTTGAAAGCTGCCTTGGATCCCACACTGGGAGAAAGGTAGGATGCAAATGGAATAAAACAAATAATTGGTATACTCATTGATTGTAATCTTATGGTATTTCCTCAGTAGAGATCATTGTCCTATTATTTATATGATCCCCCCCCCCATTGTTGTTAATATTATTGCTGTTACTTGCATGTAACATCCTATTGTGTATCCTCTTTATCAAACAGAATGAGACTGTGTGTGAGAGTATGCAAATCACACATGAAATGGTTATTATTGTGAAATGTGTGTTAAAGGTGGTTATTATGATTTTTATTGTCAACTAAGTCCCTTCAGGGAGAGAGTCCCCCTTGTGGGGAGAAGGGCGGGATAGAAATATACAAAATAAAAATAAATAAARGTGTGGGTTAGAAATATATTATTATTATTATTATTTTACTGACACAAAAGCACAGTATGTCACAGCAAATGAGATCTATATGCTAGATTTCGTATCACAAAATCACAAGTCAAACACTTCCCAAGCGTCTAGGACGATATGATGTATTTTTCGAATGATRCGTGTAGATCCAAGTAAGGTRGCCTTTTGCAGTTGACAGATTGTGATTTTGTCGATGTTTATTGTTTCCAAATGCTGGCTGAGATCTTTTGGCAAAGCAGTTCGATTTTGTGGTCCTGATAACGGCTGAGTTTTTCCTGTTGTTTTTCTTCAACGCGACTGTCATCTGGTATGGTAACATCAATAATCCAAACTTTTTTTCGTTTCCACAATCGTGATGTCTGGTGTATTGTGTTCCAAAACATTATTATTATTATTATTATTATTATTATTATTATTATTACTTACCCTGTCTTTTTGTTTTGTAGACAAAATGCTTCAAGGACTTATCATGGGTATTTTCTTGATGATCCTGAATCTCCAAAGAAGCTTTATCACTAGTAAGGAACTTGGGGAGAGGTGGGCAGGTAGATTGTGTACTGGACAGGTCCTTGTTAAAGCATGGTTGTCAAACTTTTTGTTCCTTCTCAAGTCAAAATTAGTGTTTTAGAAGCTGGCAGTCCCACTGTTGGTTGGGCTAAGGACAGGAGACAGAGCTGGGGCAGAATGGCGGGGACAGTGTTATCTTACCAAGTCTTTTTAACAGAATAGGCATAAAGAATGGTGAACGAGGAATGAAAAGTACAGACTTGGTACCAAATTGCAGCAATATATATAAACAAGGCCATAAAGTGTAAGCTGGATGAAAAGAAAATTCTAGTCTAGCCCATCCTACTGTAGTTCTATGTGCCTGCATACAACAGACAAAGTAAACCACAGCTGCCTCCAGAATTTCTTACTGGGCATATGTGAATAGCAGCATAGAGAAAAGGAAAGAACAGGTACGTATGTACCAGCTACTTCCCAGCATGTTAAAATAACATGTAACCCGGATTCCAAAATGGAAATAGAAAGGAAAGTATACACCTTCAAATGGTACATAGATGGTTTAAACAGCCTCACACGGAGTTTACTCAACCTGGCTGTTTCATTTCACATTTGAATGTTTTTTTTTTAAAATAAAAGGTTTGCATAAACATATTGAGCTGCTCTTCTTTTTTGTGATGCAAATAACCTATCCCTTATTCTTTACATATTATTATGTTCCCTCTGATGCCAAGTTCTCTACTTCATTAACTATGGTATACCAGTAATTGTTCAGTATGACAAACAGATACACACATACTCTTATTTAGATACATGTATATTCTTGTTTAGAGCCCCAGGTGGCGCAATGGGTTAAACCGGCAGGACTGAAGACCAACAGGTTACAGGTTCGAATCCGGGGAGAGGCAAATGAGCTCCCTCTATCAGCTCCAGCTCCTCATGCAGGGACATGAGAGAAGCCTCCCACAAGGATGATAAAAACATCAAATCATCCAGGCGTCCCCTGGGCAACGTCATTGCAGACGGCCAATTCTCTCACACCAGAAGCGACTTGCAGTTTCTCAGGTTTCTCCTGACACGACAAAAAAAAAAGCAGGACTGAAGACAGACAGGGCAGAGGTTCGAATCCAGGGAGAGCGTGGATGATCTCCCTTTGTCAGCTCCAGCTCCTCATGCATGAACATGAGAGAAGCCTCCCACAGGGATGGTAAAACATGAAAACATCTGGGTGTCCCCTGGGCGACAACCTTGCAGACGGCCAATTCTCTCACATCAGAAGTGACTTACAGTTTCTCAAGTTACTCCTGACACACACAAAAAAGTCTGTATGCAGCATCTTCCATTCTTTCTGCCTCTCAAAGCTGTTAATCCCAAATAATGTTTGGCAGCCTGCAGCATTGTTTGGTTGCATTGGGAAACTAAAGAACAAAGAGTGAAGTTTCTGTTAAATGTCCTGTCCTCTTTCACATCCCTGCAGGTGAGCTGACCTGTGCTTGTGATGAACACGCACCAAACTGTGTTTTCAGTGAAGAAGGAAAAAACTATGTTTGTTCTGGAGTGGTGTGTTTTGTCAGCAAACATCGGGCGGATGGAAAAATTATATCCAGGAAAGGATGCCTGCAAACAGAATATGAGACATGCAGGGGTAGCATACAAAAAAACTATGGCATGACATGCTGCTCGTCCAACATGTGCAATTTAAATTTAACCATTATGTTGCAAGGTAGGTCTTTCTGTTTCCAAGTAGGTCTGATAATGCCAATCAGGATGGATGTTTTCTCCCACTTCTCTGATTTTATTCCTCAAGCAAGACATGAGAGCCCCATGGGATTGTATTCTAGATTAGAAATGCAATAGTGACTTAAAGCTCCTTCTTTTTACTCTAGAGCAAGGTTGGGAATAATTGCCCCTCCAGGTGTTGTGGGACTGCTGGCTACAGATGGGCATCACCTCACAAAGAATGGGGAAAATATCTTTGGTAGTAGCATGGCAAATTGGATCAAGAGGGCTTTTAATTAAGTCCTTGGGGTGGAGATGATCCCTTAAGCATCTGTCCAAAAGCAAGCTCTAAAAAAAAACAAGGATGTGTTTGCGAGAAGATGAGAGAGAATAGGGGCCACAATAAAAATCACGGTTGTATAAAAGATGACAACATGCAGAACTTTAGATGTCTATACACTAATGCGCAGTGTTTGGAAAATAAGAAGAGCCTGATGTCCTAGAACAGTGGTTCTCAACCTGGGGGTCGCGACCCCCCAGGGGGTCGCTGGGCCATTTTCCGTGGGTCGCAAAGCCACCTCAGTTAGCTCCGCCCCCCACCAAAATGGCTGCAGGATCCTGTGCGAGCCAAACAGCCAGGCGCTCCTAGTTGGCTCTCCTCTTCTCGCAGGACTGCAGGGAGTCAGGAGGAGGAGCTTGTAGGCAAAGGCGTGTGCGGGCCCTTGCCTCTTGCCTAGCAGAGAAGGGGCGAGGATTGAGCAGGCCGCCCACTGCTCTCCTCTTGCCCCCCCCCCCTCGCCTCAGAAGGTGCAAGCCATGGAGGGAGCTGCAGCCATGGAGGGTGCCTTTGCCACTCGCCTCTCGCACCCTCCGGCCTCTCAGGCAGCTGTGCCTGCACCACTCACAGGGCAGCAAAGAAGCCTCTTCAGGAAGTGAAGTGATTGAAGGTAGGATAAATCTAATCTTTTGTACATGCCTCTATTGTTTGTGGAGTTCAGAATGCTCTTTGGTGCCTGGTGAACTGCAATTCCCATAAGTCAGGGTCTATTTTTTCCAACCCCCTCCAGTATTTTCTGTTATGACGTAGCACCAAAAATATGGTTGGAGGTCACCACAACATGGAGAACTGTATTTAGGGGTCACGGCATTAGAAAGGTTGAGAACCACTGTCCTAGACCCTTTCCACACAGCTGAATAAAATCCCACATTTTATGCTTTGAACTGGAATATATGGCTGTGTGGACTCAGATAACCCAGTTCAAAGCAGATATTGTAGTATTTTCTGCCTTGATATGCTGGGTTATATGGCTGTGTGGAAGGGCCCTGAGACCAAACAATGCCATTCAAAGAGTGGTAACCACGTTTATTTTGATATATAAAAGGGCATAAAGGAATCCATTGCTAACTGATTTATCCCAGCCCAAGCTTTTTGGAACTCCTGTCCACCTTGTCAGATTCATTGCTCGTGGAATCACTTCAGAGCATGAGATGGAGCTTGCTCTTGGCCACTGGTATGGTCTGGAGGCTTCCCGTCGGGTCACCCATTTGGCCACTAAGGGAACAGAATTATGACCCAGCTGGGCTTTTCTCATCTTCTGGTCACAGTAGTCTCTAATGCAGGGGTCCCCAAACTAAGGCCAGATACGGCTCTCCAAGGTCATTTACCCGGCCCTGCTCAGAGTCAACCTAATTCTGAAATGGCTTGAAAGCATACAACAACAACAATCCTATCTCATCAGCCAAAAGCAGGCCCACACTTCCCATTGAAATACTAATAAGTTTGTATTTCTTAAAATTGTTCTTCATTTTAATTATTGTATTGTTTTAAGTATTTTTGCGCTACAAATAAGATATGTGCAGTGTGCATAGGAATTCATTCATGGTTTTTTTTTCCTCAAAATTATAATCCGGCCCTCCAACAGTTTGAGGGACTGTGATCTAGCCTTGTGTTTAAAGTTTGAGGACCCCTCCTCTAATGAGTTGGGAATCTTTTGTTGACATGTTACCAATTTGCTGGAGTAAATAGAAACTAAACAGTCAGCACTACCACAAAGAGAGCAGAAACCCAATGGAATCATTTTATTTCTTTCCAATCAGGTGAAAAAGATAAAGTGGGTCCATCTCTTACGAACCTTCTCCTGATGATCTTGGTCCCACTGTTTGCCATTGTACTCCTTGCTGTGTTGATGGGGCTCTTTTTATGGAAAGTGTGCCAGAACCATCAAAAGAAAATGCAGCTTGGGTCTGATGATTTAGGAGATATGGATTTCATCCTGAAGTCATCCATCGCTGGCGACAGTACCTTAGAAGTAAGTCAGTGCTGAGAACAAATGTCTTGAATGCATGTTCCCTTCGGTGTCCCTGCTGCCATGGCCCCTATCTCCAGACAGCCCTCACAAAAGGAAGCAGGGAGAAGATTATTGGCAAGCCAGTTCATAGCTTTGGTTCCTGAATTGCATCTGAAACACGGCCACAAATAGAGGAACTTTGCATTGGTTGACTTTGTCTTTGTATTCTCTCTCAATCTCTTTGACAGATCTCTACCTGTTTACCGTTGAATGTCTTTCTTTGTTTTCCCATCTACTGGCTTGCCATCAGATTTAATCATAGCAAGAATGGGCAACATGTGGCCTCCCAGATGTTGTTGGCTGTGTTGGATAGTCCTGGTATGAGTTACAGTCCATCAAAAGAGCCACACATTCCCTGTCCGTCTTATATTACTAGCACAAGCGATCTCAAAAATGGAGATTGTAATTTGTGAAATATCTTGGGTGCCTTTGTCTGTTTTCTCCAGTAGGCAAATCCGGAGATCCTGCTAAATTATCTTTTAGCTGGCTTTAGTGTCTCCATTTGCAAGTAGAAAGCAGACAAGGAAGCTACATCAAAATTATGATCATGGCCAGTGCATCATTTTATTTGGCTTCGAGTGGTGCCAGATTTTGCTATTTTATGAAGCGTTTCTCTTGCCATTTGTAAAGCTTCATCATTTGCTTCCAAATGTACCCAGGACTTGATGGAAGATGACTGCACTACTGGGAGTGGCTCAGGACTGCCCTTCCTTGTCCAAAGAACTGTCGCTCGGCAGATCACACTGTCTGAATGTGTCGGTAAGCAAAAGTATCTGTCCACTACCATCATCACTCCTCCAAAAGCCAGTCTGTGTATGGCAAAAGTTGGAAATGTTATTTTTAAAAATCTGGCCATTACAGTCACAAAAAGTAAGCTTTCCAGACAAAATACAGTTCCTTTTTAATTTTTTGCCCTTAATTATCTCCTCTTGTCTTACTGCTGTATTCAAAACTTTAAGGACTCAAATGATCAATAATGGGGAGAGCGAACACCTTGTTTTTTTGGTATATCAATCACATGGTGCAGCCTCCGGTGGCGCAATGGGTTAAACCCTTGTGCTGGTCGACTGACAGGTTAGCGGTTTGAATCCAGAGGAGTGGGGTAGGCTCCCATCTGTCAGCTCTAGCTTCTCATGTGGGGACATGAGAGAAGCCTCCCACAGGATGATAAATTCCCCAGTGTCCCCTGGGCAATTTCTTTGCAGATGGCCAGTTCTCTCACACCAGAAGCAACTTGCAGTTTCTCAAGTCGCTTCTAACATTAAAAAAAATCACATGGTTTGATTAACTCACCACTGGACAAATCTGTGCCAAATCTGAAGTTACCCTCAGTTATCCCACTAAGAAGTGATTTCTGATGTAGCAATTTTAAGATAAATATGGATTGGTATCTGTCATCCTGAGAATTCCTTTGCCAGCTCCAAATTATCGTTAGTCCTCTGTGAAAAATGTTAGGCTCAAGGAAAGTGACGCACAGACAAAGCTGAACATTAAGCATGTCTGTCTCTCAACTCTACTGGACAATAGAATTTGTATTGATAAGATGTATCAAACATTTTTAGTCAAATATTATTCAAAAAAACTAAAAAGTTAGTTTTGAGGCAGAAACAGACATTATGAAGCAAACACTATAGGATCCCAACTTTGTGGATATATCAAAGAACTTTGACAGACAGTTATGTTCATGCCTATGTGCTTTCGAGTCACCCCATTAATTTTATATGGTTTTTCCTAGATCAGGAATACTCAAAAATAGTTTTGCCAGCACCTTCCTCTGGAATATAGCCTACAGCATCTGATATTGGTTAGCAATATTGGTTAGCGGGGTCAGCTAAGCAGGGTTAGCTGACCCTGCTTAGCTTCTGAGGGCACTTCCACACAACCTTATATCCCAGAATATCAAGACAGAAAATCCCACCATATCTGCTTTGAACTGGGTTATCTGAGTCCACACTCAGATAATGTGGGATTTTCTGCCTTGACATTCTGGGATATAGGTGGAAAGGCCCTAAGATCAGCCAGGATCTGGTGCATTTAGGAACAGGAGTGAATGCTTAATGCTTGCACTTCTAGCTGATTTTACTTTGCAGAATTCCTCTCCTGCTCCCATTCCACCAATATCTACCTGCATAGTTTAAGACTGAAAGTAAAGCCTGAAAGTAAACCCTACAGAGGGAGGCCCCCTTCCATACAGCTGAATAAAATCCCACATTATCTTCCTTGAACTGAGATATATAGCAGTGTGGACTCAGATTATTTATTTATTTACAGTATTTATATTCCACCCTTCTCACCCCACAGGGGACTCAGGTTGGATTACAATACACATATACATGGCAAACATTCAATGCCATAGACATACAACATATATAGACAGACACAGAGGCAATTTAACATTCCAGCTTTCCAGCTTCATGCGGGTATGCTGGATTCCAGCCACAGGGGGAGCTGCTTCTACCGTGCACTTGTGACACCAAGTCCTTGATGGAGTACTTCCTCATTCTTACACACGCTGCTGGAAGTTTTTATCATGTCGTACATTAGTTAAATTAGCCTCCTCGCATAAAGCGGTACCTAAATTTCCTACTTGACAGATGCAACTGTCTTTCGGGCTGCATAGGTCAACAGTAAGCTAGACTTTTAATGGCCAGGAGCTCACTCTGACCTGGGCTGGCTTCGAACTTATGACCTCTTAGTCAGTAGTGATTTAATGCAGTTGGCTACTAACTAGCTGTGTCCACTTCAAAGCAGGTGTTGCGGGTTATTCTGCCTTGATATTCTGGGTTTATATGGCTGTGTGGAAGGGCCCTAAGGCCCCTTCCACACAGCTGTATAAAATCCTACATTATCTGCTGGAATATATGGCAGTGTGGACTTGGACAACCCAATTCAAAGCAGATATTCTGGGTTATATGGCTGTGTGGAAGGGCCCAGGGAAGAAAGACGAGGAAAAGAAATTCTGGGGGAGGAATGGGTGATTAGGGAAAGGATAGATGCCCTTTTCCTAATGAATCCCAGCTACATTCTCCTCTATGTAATTCTTCCCCCACCCTTCATTTTTGCCAATAACTAGCAGGCACATATTTGGGAAATACAACTTAGCAAAGTAGTCTGTTGTTCTACTCTTTAAAGCTTAATTCATTGCTTTTACATATTAGAAAACTGCATTTAGCTCATGATGTGATACAGACTGACTCACAGTTATGGAAACCCTGCTAAAAGAGGTGGCTGCTGAACAGCTAGACAGGAAAGATGTAAAGCCGGAGTGTTGAAAGAAAGGGTAAATGTCACATACAGTAAGTTTAATTTGCGTAGGAGGGGGCCTTGCCGAAATCTCCCATGTTTCACAGCATATAAATAAAGAAATGCTGCAGAAGGTTGGAAGGTGATAAGAGACACATCAATTAAGATACGGTAGGAGCCAAAAGTATGCATCCCTATAAATGAACAGTACACATCAACAAAGATTGTCACAGGGAGTTTTTTGAATATGTTTCATTGGGAACACATGGATTACTTTTACTGCAAGGAAGAAAACACTAGCAAGAATTTAGTCACATTCAAACAACTGGCATTGATATCAGCTGCTGAAATACTTTGGGAGCAAATACATTTAATATTCACTGAGCATTTACACTCTTCAAATTATGCATCCAACTTCGCCAATTGATTGTGAGTTTGAAGAGCATTTACACAAGACAGGTATAACAGTTTGATTCCACTTTAACTGTCATGGTTCCATGGGATCTTTGAATGTGTAGTTTGGAAAGAGCTTAGATCCCTCTGTTAGAGGGCTTTTGTTCATCCTCCTAAATTACGTTTTCCAAAACTTAATTCTCAGTCCCTTTTTTCAACTACCTTAGCAATTGTAGTTCAAGGAATTGCAACACCTAGTCTAGAATTCCAAGTCTCTCAAGAAACTACAAGTCACAGAATTTCATAGGATGGAATCACGGGAGAGTGCAGGTGAGTTCCCTCTGTCAGCTCCAGCTCCCCATGCGGGGAAATGAAAGAAGCCTCCCACAAGGATGGTAAAACATCAAAACATCCAGGCATCCCCTGGCCAGCATCCTTGCAGATGACCAATTCTCTCGTGCCAGAAGCTACTTGCAGTTTCTAATGTCACTCCTGACACGAAAAAAATAGTCATTAAAAAGTTATTGTTTTGAAATCTTTTGACTGCACACTGTAAATAAATCCATAGCTGAACCTCAACAGTTCAGTTGTCTTAAATCTCATTTGGTCTTTCAAATACCTACCTACTTTTTAAGAACCATGTGTGTTGATTTGTTCCTCTATGTGTTTGTTTCTTTTTAATCTGCAAATATTTTTAAAACGGTTCCAAACCTGTACCAGGAATTACAGAGATGTGTTGGTAAGAATTTTGTCCAGTTCAGTGTGACCAAACTGAAAACATAGAGTTGGTGTTTCAAGACTTACGCTGGAAGAAGAAAATGTGCAGGCAGTAAATTTGTCCATCTTCATCTTCAGTAATGAAGTGAATGACACCTCTAGTTTGGAGATTGAGCCACTTAAAACTCCTGCATTGAGGCCCAAGGTTAGCTAAGACCAATGTCTCATAGTATCATGCCTTTCTTCCCCCTCTCATTCTATGAGAATTTCCTCCTAGATGGATAAGAATTGTCTGAATTGATTACCAGAAGACTGTCACATTTTCACAGCACCATAAACCCTAATTTTATTTAATGAATATATCCTCCCTTTTAGCAGCCAACATGGTGTAGTAGTCTGATCATTGGACTGCAGCTCCGTTGACCAGGGATTGAATCCATGCTTGGTCATGGCCACCTTGGCTTATCTTGAGGCAGTCACATGCTCTTGGCCTCAGAGAACAGCAATGCCAAACCTCTTCTAAACAAATCTTGCCAAGAAAATTGTGTGAAAAGATCACCTTAGGGTTGCCATAGACCAAAAATAGTTTGGGGAGGAAAGCAGAATATTAAATAAACAAATTGTAGAACTGTTTGCAGTATACCAGTTGTATTGGGACACAATGACAACACATTCTTTCTTTCTGCAAAAATGGTCCTGAAAACCATTAACTAGGAGTTCTTTTGCTTCCGGCTTGGAATTCTTAGTTTTGTGACTTTTTTGGTCACAGGCTCATCAGGAAAACATTGCAGGTTGATAGCTTCCGAGTCTTGCTCTCTGACAGAAGTGAACTCTAGCCAACTATATCCTAGGCAAAACAATGTAGGCTGGTGTATTCAGGGGAACATATTGAGGAGAATATTTATATGTTCTTTAGGTCAAAATAAAGACTAGGCAAGACAAGCCAGATGAATTTTTTTGTTTTTAACCCACTCCCCCACAGGCAAGGGACGTTATGGTGAGGTGTGGCGTGGAATATGGCATGGGGAAAATGTGGCTGTCAAGATCTTCTCGTCCCGGGATGAGCAGTCATGGTTCCGGGAGACCGAGATATACAACACGGTGCTGCTGAGGCATGACAACATCTTGGGTGAGCTGAAATGATGATAACCCTCCTTAAAGAAATGTCACAATAGAGACCTAGGTATCCCAGCAGTTCCAAGTGGTTTCCAAAGGAGAAGAAAATTGTTTCCATATGCCAGGCCCCTGGCCCATTCTAGGTTTTGGTCCAAGCTATCCAAAGTGGAACTCTTGTTTTGGAGGTATAGTGCAACACCTTGGATGACTTCTTAAAGTTCAAATGAAAACTCTGAATGAATTCAGTGGATGGCAATGCATGGATGCCATGGCAATCATCCCCTGTCATCCTTTTCACATCTATTATTACTCCCAGACCTTTAATTGCCCCAAACAATAATGAGAACAAGGGAGGATATCCAAGCAGTCGATGTAAAAGAGTCATTTTATTGTTCTTGGAACTAGCCCAATATAAAATGTCAAAATATCTTCCATTTTTTCTCCTAGAGCAGCAAAAATAGGGAAAACATGGGTGAATGGGAGCCAGAGCTGTAGAGGAAAATGCCATGTGCACAGTTAAATAATCCAGGTTGGCCCTGCCTATGTCTATCTCTTTATTGTATATTATTTGCAGACTCTAAGTTATATTTCAGCATGGTTCTATATACCTCCTGTTCTTTGTGCCTGTAAACATTGTAAATATGGCATAATTACTGGGGTGAGGACAGGAAGGGTACATTTCTTCTTTTTTTTAAATGAATTTTATTATTATTTCCAAATTGTAGACATTAGAACATAACTATTGGTAGAAACATTTCTTCTGAGCAACACTTTTAAAAATCCATATAGACTTCTTCCTGCCTTCATCTGATAACCCAACAACCCCCACCCCTAGCTACCAGGCACAGTAGATCAGTGTGTGGTGCCCAAGATTTCCCTCTTCTTTGGGGAACAGACTAGTCCTTTCTTTCCCTGCTTCCTCCTCCAGGGCTTGAAAAGAAAGGCACAGAAAGGCAAAGTGAAGAGATGGGTGTGGAAGTGGCTGCTCCAACCCATACACAAACACATAGTCATCCTCTCAAGATGCAAGAAGGGAGGGTACAGAAGGAGCCAGTCCTCAATTGGGGTGTTTGCATGTGCCTTTAAATCCTGCTGACTTATCGCGATCCTATACATTCCACAGAGTGTTTTTTAAGCAAGGAATACTCAGAGATAGAGACTGAGGTAAGACTGGGAGTGCCACTCCCAACTCTCAGTAGTGGGCTGCTAAGTAGCATGTGTGTATATGTACCTTCAAGATGCATGTTGACTTAAGGCACGGTAATTCCATGAATTTCATAGGATTTTCATAGGAATTTCATGGAATTGTCAGAGTTCATTTTCCTGTCTTTCCCTTGAAATATAGAGAAGGATCAAAAGAATGGGAACCATATTGGGGGCCTTGCCAGTTTATTGGTTATGGCTGTTTGAAAGGACAACAAGAATAGAAAGAAATAATGAATAAAGTGTAACTTATTGTGGTACATGTTTTGTAGGTGTAAGCAGGACCAGATTAGCTTGGATGCCACTGAGCCTCTTCCATTAATCATTCACATTATTAGAGCAGAAGAATATAGTCACTTGTTTGTTAACCTTTTGTAACGTTCAGCTTTTTATATCTGAATAGCTTGTTGTTGTTTTATGCCTTCTAGTCACTTATAACAACCCTACGGTTAATTCGTCATGGTTTTCTTTGCAGCATGGGATTGCTTTTGCCATCCTCTGAGTGACTTGCTAAAGGTCACCCAATGGATTTCCATGGCTGAATGGAGAATCAACCTCTGCTCATAATATTACACCGTAGTGCTTCTACAGCAGAGTTTGGAAAATGTATTTTGGGGGATTTGTAGTACAAAAAGTACTCCCAACTCCAAAACAACCTAAATTGTTTAGAAAACTGCAATAGTTGTCATAAAAAGTGGATTTTCTAGGTTCTCAGAAGTAGACATGTTTCTTGATGCTATGTCATTGTTTTTGACAGTTTTTCTATATGATCAGCCATGTTGGGTTTCCTTCTCTTTCATGTATATAAAGCAGCTCTGTGAGCTGAGAGATTCGGGGAGCTCTTGTCCATAGAGTAACTTTTCCAAAACCTGGGCAAAGGTGCATGTTTATTTTTACAACATTGTCTTTTATCATTCTGCATATGTTTCTGGCATACAGTAGGCCCTTGGTATCCACTAGGGTTTGGTTCCAGGACACACACAAATGCACCATGGATACAATAATCTGTGGATGTTCAAATTCCAATATAGTAAAATGATGTCCCTAATATAAAATGACAAAATTAAGATTTATTCTTTTGGAATGTTAAAAAATATTTTCAAATGATTGATGATTGAATCCATAGGTACAAAATCTGTTGATATGGAACTGTACACAAATGCACATAGACACATCCAGGTTCATTCCATGAGGTGCCTTTTGTGGGGACTGGTAAATATAAGTTAACAGAACCATCACCACAGTTTTTGAATCAAGATATACCCTGCAATATTATAAAGTGTCACTTGGGCTTGTGTAACAAGTAACAGTATCTTTACTTCAGTTCAAAAAGTCAATCAGGGCAACAATATATACAGCAGTCTCTCTAAATTCACACAGAAAACAGAAGAAATGAACAGTCCTTTTAAACAGTCTTTAAATTATGCTTCATACCTTAAAAATGATCAGACTTCAGAGAGTTGGCAGCCATTTCCTTCCTGGCTGTTTTCAGTCAGCGCTCTCTTCATTCTCCAAAGTGAAAGTGGCAGTTAAAACCGTTTGTCTCAACAGCAAGCCAGACACAGCAGCCAATCAGAACTCTGGCCCCTGGCATGCTCAGCCAATCAGCTGCCAACACATGTCTTTCCAGTTAACCCACCACACCATGACATCTCTTTTCAAACCCTCACACCTTTGTGCATGTCCCATTCCTCCTGACCTGTGATTGTCTCCCTTCCCTGGTCCCTGCTGCAGGGTTCATCGCCTCAGACATGACCTCCAGGAATTCCAGCACCCAGCTCTGGCTGATCACCCACTACCATGAGCACGGTTCCCTCTATGACTACCTGCAGTACACTGCGCTGGATGTGGAGACCTGCCTCCTCCTGGCCTCCTCCATCATCTGTGGGCTCGTTCACCTCCATGTGGAAATTTTTGGCACTCAGGGCAAGCCAGCCATTGCTCACCGTGACCTGAAAAGTAGGAACATCCTGGTCAAGAACAATAAACAGTGCTGCATTGCTGATCTAGGTGAGTGGGCATCTTAGGCTGAGCAGTCTCTTCTGCCAGCCAGGAGGCACTCTTTTTCCACCCAGCCCTGCTTCAGGAATTAGGAGACATGTTAAAGAAGATATATAACACAAAGTTGAGAGATATTCTGGGATCTCCAGTTGATTTACCCACCCATGCAGGCAGGCATCCACAGCTAAGGCATCCCTGAGTTCTAGCCACCCAATTTTGTCTGTTTGGAAACCTACAATAAAGGATAAGCCATCACCTTCTGTTTGGCTGTTTAGACAAAATCTTCCTTCTTGTAAGTTGCATCTGTTGGCTCATCTTCTGGAACAGGAGAAAACAAAAACTGCCAAAAGACATGTCACAGCCCTTCAGAAGTGGTGGTTTGAGTACTGAACTAAAATTCTGGAGATCAAGATTCAGTTCCCTACTCAACCATGGAAACCCACTAGGCATGGGTTTGGGCAAGTCAGACACTATCATTCCCAGAAATCCCCATGATAAATTGGTCTTAAAGTTGTCATAAGTCAGAAATTACTTAAAGGCACACAACAACAGATGTGACCCAGATGTGATTAAACGTACAATCATTCCTCATAGAGCTTTTAGATTCTCCACCATGTTCTGCTTTCCCGGTTGTTTAGACTTGTAATTCCCATGAGCTCCAGTCAGCAGAGTCACTGGTCGGGAATTCTGAGAGATGGAGTCAAAAAACATTGAAATTCTGTTTGTTGGCCATCCTGCATTTTCTATTCATCGCTCCCTCCTCCTAGTAATTCTTTTAATATTTTGCTCCCTAATCCTAAGCATGTCCTCCATGACACAAAGTACTTTGCCCCATGATGCCCAGTGCTCAGTGGGAACATGAAGCTGGACTTCATCATCAGGCAAGCAGCTAGCTGATAAATATCTCCAAGAAGAATTCTTCTAACCACTGACACCATCATCATTGCATCTTTTCAGGTCTGGCAGTCATGCATTCCCAAAGCACTGACTTCTTGGACATTGGAAACAACCCACGGGTGGGCACCAAGCGTTACATGGCACCTGAAGTCTTAGATGAACAGATTCACATGGACTGCTTTGAATCCTTCAAGCGGACCGACATCTGGGCCTATGGCCTCGTACTCTGGGAGATCGCCCGGAGAACAGTCGTGAATGGTAAGGTAGAATGAATGGGGAAATGCACCAAGTTGGAAATCTAATAGTAAGTTATAAGCTGGGAAGGAAAGCATGGCCAGGGGAGAGATCATCAATCTTAAATTGAAATCTCTCCACTATAGATGTAATTAGATCTTTCTTTCTTTTTTTAAATCACAGCAGATAGATAGATAGATAGATAGATAGATAGATAGATAGATGATAGATAGATAGATGATAGATAGATAGATAGATAGATAGATAGATAGATAGATAGATAGATAGATAGATAGATAGATAGATAGAAGCTTTGGATAGCATAGGGAAGGGTGAACACCCCTGCAGTGTATGTTTTGCTGCATGTGCTCTGGTTCAGAAGATTTCACCTCGCTTTCTGTCCCTGTGATAATTGGATTTTGAAAAATTTGGCTTGTTGTGGAAACAAGGATTGGGGATAAAGCTTCAGTGAAGATACCTTTTTTCTCATGATAACTCTTTCAAAAGTGAATTTCCCTTCCAAGGGGTGGATTTCTCTCACTCCCTGTTGTCTCACCTCCGTTCTTAACTATGAGTCATTTGTAAGTCAGATGCTTGTAACTCATAGACTACCTGTTTATCCCAAAGACCTGACCGAACATGGACTAGAGCACGGACTAGAGCGTATTTGAAAGCCTACTACAAGGCAATGAGGGCAACAGAGAAATTGTTCATTGCTGCCAACATTGCTTCTACAAAGACCCATCCAGCTGAGCTTTTCTGAGTGGTCAGAGGCCTATTACATACTGCTCCTCAAGGAGAAATCCCTGCCCATTCAGCAGCTCGCTGTGATGAATTTGCATGGCTCTTTGCAGATAAAGTCATGTAGATCAGTTCCAACTTGAATGCTGTTATTGATACAATTCCAATGAATGTAACTTTGGCTCCTGCTTGTCCAGTGTTGATGGCTACCTTTCAGTTTGTGCAACCTGAGGATGTGGACAGGATCCTTGGAGAGGTGAGAGCTACCACAGGTATTCTAGTCCCTAAACCAGTGCCTGTTATCAGTAATGGACTGGATGAGGACAAAAAAATCGAAATTTAATCCAGACAAGACAGGTGTTCTCCTGATCAGTTGGAAGGCAGATCAGGGAATCAGGATCCAATTTATGCTGGATGGGATCACACTCCTGCTGAAGACACAGATCCGCAGTTTGGGGGTCCTCCTGGACTCAGTGTTGAACCTGGAGGCCAAAATGTTGGCGGTGGCCAGGAGGGCATTTGCACAATTAAAACTTGTGTGCCAACTGCACCTATTCCATGAGAAGCCAGATCTGGCCACGGTGGTACATGCATTAGTTACATCCTGTCTGGATTGCTGTAACACGCTGTATGTGGGGCTGCCTCTGAAGAGTGGTCAGAAACTTCAGCTGGTTCAAAGAGCTGCGACCAGGTTGCTAACTGGAGCTGGCTACAGGGAGCAGACAACCCCCCTGTTGCAGCAGCTCCACTGTCTGTCAATTTGTTTCTGGTCACAATTTAAAATGTTGGTTATGACCTTTAAAGCCCTAGATGGTTCAGGTCCAGGCTATTTGGCTGACCTCATCACCTTGTACGGACCTGCGTGGGCCCTGAGATCTTCAGGAGAGTCCCATCTCTCAGTCTCACCTCGTCTCAAGCTTGTTTGGTGGGAATGGGAGAGCGAGCATTCCTTCTCGGTAGCTGCTGCCCCTTGACTCTGAAACTCCCTTGTCCCCATCCCCAGGGAAGCCAGAATGGCCCCCTCCCTGATGTCCTTCCTGCAGCAACCTTTTTATTCAGGCAGGCTTTTAAAGAAGGTTTTTAAGATCATCAGGGACTGCTGTGATTTATATGCTTTTATGGTTTTAACCTGAATTGTTTTTAATATTAATGAGATTTAATACTGTTTTGTTATTTGTATATTCTAAGTTGTATTGATATGCTTTTTATTGTGAGCTGCTTTGAGTCTCCATATGGAGAGAAAAAGTAGGATATAAATAAACATAATAATAGTAATTCTAAGATCTTGCTCCCACTTCCGAGCATTTGCCACCAGAAGCAACTGTCTCACTCTCCCAAGTGGTAGAGCTAGCCCTTCTTCATATGGTGTGCTTATTCAGAGCCGCTTAGGACAAATTTCCAAAGTGGTTCTCTTCCTGCAATTACTATGTTAATTTGGAATCACATGAACAACACCAAAAACGCCTTGTCTAGAAGCAGCCTTAGAAGTGAGTTAATGTCAGAGGAGTACTGGTTCTTTTAAAACAAGTGAAAGAAACTCCAACTTTCATCATCCCCAGGTTGAACAATGGTTGTGGAGATGGCAATAACTTGGTTTTCTAAAAAAGAAGGCTGTAAAGTTTACTGCAGCAGCTGCAGAAATCTCCTGTTTGGGATTACAACAGCAGCTGCATCCAGGGGATGGAGGGGAGGCCCGGCCCCTCTGCTCGCCAGATCCCTTACAGTTGGCTCCCTGTGCACAAATAATCACTAAAAAGGGACTGTTAATGTGGAGGTTTTCGACTGGCTGAGTCGGACAGTGTTTTCTCTCTTGCTTTCTCTCTCTATCTCTTCTTTTCCTTTTCTACCCGAATGATTAGCTGTAAATTATAAACACTGTAATCTAGTGTCAGCGCCCAGCTCACTGATTAAAGGGGCCATTAGACTCAATCAGCACTTTGTTTGTTCAGCTCTGATTAGGAAACAAGCAGAATCACAGCTCGCTCTGGCAAGAGGCCACATCCCGGGAACTTTTGGTCTCCTCCTCCAGCCCCGTCCCTGCCTGCTGCTGTCCTCAAACCAATGCGGAGGCCTCCGAGGGCTGATCCTTGCTTTTAGTCTCCCTAGCTCTCCACACCTTGCATTTGCATTCACTTAGGTCAGGAAAGGGTTGCACCTGAGGCCCCTTCCACACCGCTGAATAAAACCCCAAATAATCTGCTTTGAACTGGGGGTCCTTCCACACAGCCATATATCCCAGAATATCAAGGCAGAATAACCCACAATATCTGCTTTGAACTGGAATATCTGAGTCCACACTCAGATAATGTGGGATTTCCTGCCTTGATATTCTGGGATATAGGGCCGTGTGGAAGGGCCCTGGGATACGACTGGATAGCTAATGGTCAGTATATTGCTTATATCTGCATTGTATGTGGAGAATTGGGAAATGGACTTTAAAACAATCCCTTTGTTTGTCAACATTTTTTAAAAAAGAGTTCAACCTGAGAATTCTTACAATTGGCCTATTCTGTGGTGCTGTAGAAAAGCTAGGTTTGCATCTCCAGAGTTTGCGCTTCAGCTATGATAATGATTCTTTCTGGCATTCTACGCTTCCCCACACTCTCTCCTTTGATTTTAGCTGCAGTTCCCATAGTAGCTCCAGGGTAAAATGGATTATCCGAACAGTGATCTAATGCTGTGAATTATCCCTGTTGTAAAATGAAATACTATGGAGTGCCTTGGTCTGGAATGGGCTATTAAGAACCATTAGCTTAACAAAAACACCTCCAAAGAGATTAAGATAACTGCATGCATTTTTTGGAATCTCCTTGGGGGATGACTGCAAGGAATGTCATGATGAGTGCTTGTATTTCAGCATTTACCTCTTCACTTGCTGCTGGTGATATTTTTTCTTATTTCAATGTCTTGTTGCAATTTTTTTTCTTGAACCCAAAAGTGGAGAAAGTTAGCTCATAGGACTACATCTTACATCCAAGCCTCTTCCCCCTCCTCCCCAGGACCCAAAAAAGTTCAGGGGAAACATTGATATTTATTAGGCAAAACCAGCTCAAATTTGCAACCTCACAGGAGGTGTTCCTGCCATAGTAAAGGTAAAAGTTTCTCTTGACCTTAAGTCTAGTTGTGTCCGACTGTGGGGTAATGGTGCTCATCTCAGTTTCTAAGCCGAAGAGCCAGCGTTGTTCATAGATACGCCCAAAGTACTGCCTTGGCAGGAAGGTAACAGCGCTCCGTGCAGTCATGCCGGCCACATTACCTAGGAGGCATCTACAGACAACACTGGCTCTTTGGTTTAGAAATGGAGATGAGCACCACCTGATGTCAAGGGGAAACCTTTACATTAGGTTAATGTCAAGAGGAAACAACTAGACTTAATGTCAAGGGGAAACCTTTACCTTTACTTGGAGTAAAAGAGACCTACTTCCCCCAAGTCTTATTTCTGTCTGACCTTTTGCCCAGCCAAACCAGAGGCTTCAAAGAAAATAGCCATTAATTAGAAAGCAAGAGAATCTCTTAGTCAAGGCACAGATTGGGCAGGCTAATCCTATCTCTCCTTCAGAGTAAACCACCAATTAATAAGCCTATTATACACACAGTTCATGACCTTTCACTGAACGTCTGTTAACTGTTATGTGCTTGCATGCAACCATACAGACACAACACTAAAATTCTTCACACCCAACATCTACCTTGGGCTTTCCAAGTAGTTTCAGATTGCAATTCACATCATTCCTCCTCACTGGTTATGCTGGCTACAGCTGCTGGAATATTTATGTAGAGGGCCACACTTTGCCCATCTCTGCTTCATTCAATATTGTTGTTGTGTTACCTTGTAGTTCTTCCTGCTTTATGGCAACTGTAAGCCTATCCTATCACATGGGGTTTCTTGGGAAGACTTGTTCAGAGGAGCTTGTCTTTGCCTTCTGCTGAGGCTTTGTGTGTGTGTGTCAGGAGCAACCTGAGAAACTGCAAATCACTTCTGGTGTGAGAGAATTGGCTCTCTGCAAGGACTTTGCCCAGGGGATACCCGGATGTTTTGATGTTTTCCCCTCCTTGTAGGAGGCTTCTCTCATGTCCCCGAGCTGGAGCTGACAGAGGAAGCTCATCCATGCTCTCCCCAGATTTGAATATCCAACCTGATGGTCTTCAGTCCTGCCGGCACAAGGGTTTAACCCATTAGGGGTTCCTTTCTCAGCGGAGGCTGACAAAGTGTGACTTGCCCAAGGTCACCCAGTAGATTTCTATGGCCAAGTGGGGATTCAAACCCTGCTCTCTAGAATTAA